TGGTCTCCAGGGGACATCTAGCTCAATTGGCATAACATAGTTTATAAAGAAAATATTCTATATCCTATTTTGGTGAATAGCATCTGGTGCCATAAAAGCTTGTGAGAAGCCATCTAAGATACTCCACTGTTCCTGCCCTGTCTAGAGCAAAGGAAAATGAAGAAAACCAAAGATACAAGGGAAAGATTAGTCCAGAGGACTAATGGACCACAACTACCGAAGCCTCTACCAGACAGAGTCCAGCACAACTAGATGGTGCTCGGCTACTACCTCCAACTGCTCTGACAGGGATCACAATAGAGGGTCCCAGACAGAGCTGGAGGAAAATGTAGAACAAAATTCTAACTCACAAAAAAAGACCAGACTTTACTGGTCTGACAGAGACTGGAGAAACCCCTAGAGTATGGCCCCTGGATACCTTTTAACTTCAGTACTGAGGTCACTCCTAAGGTTCACCCTTCAGCCAAAGATTAGACAGGCCCATAAAACAAACAATTATACATGTAGCTCAACCGTGAGATTAAATGGGCACAGGAACAAGGACAAGAAGGCAGGAGGGGACGGGAAAGCTAGACGAATGGAAGTGGGGAACGCAAGGTCGAGAAGAAGTGAGTGTTGACATGTGGGATTGGCAACCAATGTCCAAAACAATATATGTATTAATTGTTTAATGAAGGGGGAAAACAAAGACATATTTATTCTACTGTATATATTCTCAATGACAACAACAAAAAGAAATTAAAAATTTTTTTAAAAAAGGAATCAATCTGTGAACCAGTAACCAGTTGCTTTTGAGCCAGCCCCAATTCGTGGTGACCTCATGTGTGTCAGAGTAGAACTGTACTCCATAGGGTTTTCAATTGCTGATTTTTGGAAGCAGATCACGAGGTCTTTCTTCCAAGATGCCTCTGGTTGGACTCAAACCTTCAACCTTTCGGTTAGTAGCAGAGCACATTCACAGTTTGCACCACCCAGGAACTTCTCCCTAAAATTGGCAGATCCTTAAACACCAAGTATTGGTACAAATTTTGTGAAGGAAAATGATTTAGTGTTTGTGCATTGTGCCTAATATCGACAGAGCAAAAAACTATCTTATTTATACCTAATGGCATCCTCTGGTCAGAATCTCTGTATCAGAGAAGCTTAGGGGCAGGAAGGGAATTACAGGTTGAAGAAACATCAATTATCAAAATATACTTAGAAAGGGGCCCATGAAGGCTATGGTTAGGCTAAAGCCCCTGCAAAATGCCTTGGCATAGTGCACTGCCAGAATCCCTGGGTGGTGTAATGGCTAACACACTCAGCTGCTAACTAAAAGGTTGGATATTTGAGTCCACTCAGGCACCTCAGAAGAAAGGCCTGGCTATCTACTTCTGATAAATCAGCCATTGAAAATCCTGTGGAGCACAGTTCTACTCTGACACACATGGTGTCAGCATGAGTCAGAACTGACAGCAACTGGTATGAAAAAACTGAAGAGGGGAAAAATGGCTGGAAAGAAACTAAATTTTAAGTTTTTGTGTTATGGTAGGTTACGTATAGATTTTTATTAGGGAGTCCCTGGGTGGTGCACTTAGTTAATGCACTTGAATGCTAACCAAAAGTTGGCTGAGTCCACTCAGAGGCATTGTTGAAGAAAGGGCAGGTCTCCTGGAAGCACCCTCCAGGATGACAGAGTGTATGCGCTTGGCCCATAGTTACTTCTCCCCCTGGCTCCATGATCACAATCTGCAGCTGTCATGCCTCAGTGGCTTTCCAACATAAAAATCTGACTTCCCAGGTTTGGCACCAATACTGTTCTCTGGACCCTCCCCCAGCTTACATTCTTCCATTTAATCTTCTCATGCCAGTGGGCTGAACCGATCCCATCTTTCTGGGAGGAAACATCCTTTACCTCCAAGGAGGAACGGAAAACAGCCTCTCCTTCCCTCTCTTCCTCAGTCATTATGTTGGGTTTAAAGGGTCTGCGTTGTCTCCTTTTAGCTACCAGTACCACTTACTGTCAAGTTGATCCCAAGTCGTGGCAACCCCCATGTGTGTCAGAGTAGAACTGTGCTTCACAGGGTTTTCAGTGGCTGATTTTTCACAAGTAGATTGCCAAGCCTTTCTTCCAAGGCACCTCTGGGTGGACTCGAACCACCAACCTTTTGGTTAGCAGCTGAGAGAGTTAACCATTTACACCTCCCATGGACTCCCTCCTTTTAGCTTCTTCTGTTTTAATTTCTAAACTCCATTCAGACAAAAATCTTCGTATTCCCCCAAACCATATTTTACTTGTCTTGGGCCATTCACAAGGTTCCATTATGAACAGCCAGCCCCATCTGTCCCTCAACCTTATTTCTGGCCAACTCCTAATGGTGACTTCTACCTGACCTTGGGAGAAGCCTGCACCCTCTAAATCTGGAAGACCAGTCACCCTCGATTGTTCCTCCCTGAATGGACACCAAATTGACTATGTTAGAAAATGTACAATGTAGGTGATGGTATACCCAGAGATTTTTATTTTGTTTTATTTTGGGATGACACCACTGTCTTCACAAAGCAGATTTAACTTGGAAGTATTTTGATAATTTTGATGTGGCACAAATGGTTTACACTCATCTACTAACCAAAAGGTTCGGGGTATGAACCCACCCAGTGGCACCACAGAAGAAAGGCCTGGCGATCTGCTTCCATAAAGTTTACAGCCAAGAAAACCCTAAAGAGCAGCTGTACTAAGTAACACATGCGGTTGCCAGGAGTCGGAATCAACTCGATGGCGACGGGTTTGTATTTTTCTTTTTAAAATATCACCCAACAATTATACTTTGATGTTTGGAGTTTTTGTTTGTTTGTTTTCTGTCTAATGTCAGTAACGGATTAAGCCCTTTCCTGCCTCACACCCACGACTATGAAGTACTGGAGAACATACTAGTAAAGACTCAATAAATATTGAGTGAATCAATTAATGAGTCCCTGACTTTCACCCTATCCTTGTTTCTTTTCCTTTCATAAATGAGTATCTGATTCAGTTGATACAAAGAAAGCCAAAGGCTCAATCAGGATTGACCAGATGGAAATTCTGGAATGTAACCAAATTTCACTTTCTATTTGGAAGCTAGGAGCTGAAAAGGGAAGTGTGATCTATAAAAGCTACCAAGGAGCCAGTGCCAGGACCCAGAGGCCTGGAGTCACTGCTGTCATCCTCACTGACGTCTGAGCACAGGGTGCTCAGCCAACCATGCCCCATCTGGTAAGTTTGGGGAGCCTCAGACCAAGCCTATCTTTCCACCCTCAGCCAGCATCTCCATGAGGCCATGATTGCACAGTTTTTCTTTCTTTACAAATGAACAGACTCAAGGCTTTGATTTTGCTCCTAAATGCAGATTTGCCTTAATCCCAAACATGTTCGTTTCTGCTTTGGTTTATGTCCCTTTACAATGTTTAGAAAACTTACTTCTTAACTAGGCATATAGTTTGAAATGGAAAACATCTAATTGGTTGGAATTTCATTTGATGACATCTTAAATATTTACTTTGTGACCAGGAATTATACTCCGCATCAGTTATGATTTCGTTTTACTAGCTAGGTTTTCTTTTTTTTACTAAAGGCCTAAAAAAATTTCCTAAACATTTTTAAGAGTGGAGTCTTTGTTCTGAATGTTCCTTCCCCTGAACTCCATCCCAAAGAAGTAATTCAGATACACATCAAAGAGGTGGACATTAAAATGTGCACCATAAAGTTAGTGATTTTCATCTCTAGCTTCCAAATGGCATATAATACTGTTACACTGCTTTTCCAGTTTCTCATTTAAATTTAAAAAAAAGAAAATTTTTTAATTAAAAATAATGGCACTCACTTAACGTTGTCTCTTTTATCTCTCCCAGCTGGGTTATTTGTTGGAACCAGAAGATAGGCTGTGCTGGGCCACTGGGTGCTTCCATTACCACTGTTTTTTTTTTTTTTTTGCAAATTTAAAACTTTTTATTATAATAGTAATGACATTAACTGAATACCTTACAAAGGCATTTTAATAGAGAAAGCTACAGCAAAGTATGGGACACAGCCCTCTACCCTCAAGGATTCTGCAATTTAGTTGGTTTCTCTCTCTCATTGGTATCATTTGATACAGCCTTTTTGGAGAGGAATTTGACAGTGCTAGAATGCTCTTTAGAGGCAAGGATGGTGAGATTTTGGCTTGCTTACTTTTTTTTTTTAATTGTGCTTTGGGTGAAAGTTTACAGCTCAGATTAATTTCTCATTCAAAAATTTTTACACATATTGTTTTGTGACATTGGTTGCAATCCCCACAATGTGATGGCACACTCCTCTTTTCCACCCCGGGTTCCCTGTATCCATTCGACCAGTTCCTGTCCCTTCCTGTCTTCTCATCCTGCTTTTGGACAGGAGCTGCCCATTTGGCCTCATGTATCTGATTGAACTAAGAAGCACATTCCTCACGTGTATTATTTTTTATTTTACAGTCCTGTCTAATCTTTGTCTGAAGAGTGGGCTTCATGAATGGTTTCAGTTCTGGGTTAACAGAGCGTTTGGGGGCCATAGTTTCAGGGATTCCTCCAGTCTCTGTCAGACCATTAAGTCCGGTCTTTTTATGCGACCGTTCCCACTGTTTTGAGTCATTGAGTGATTATCAGAAATCTTTCCCCAAAAAAGAGTGGACCAGCCTTCAGGCTGAGCAGTAGGTTCTCCCCAGGGAGACTAGAATTCCATGGAGCAGTGGGCAGGAATGGGATGGGGAACAGAGCATCCTGCCTCCACCTGGGTGCTAAGTGAGCCACTAGCCCTGGTGGTGCAGGCTGAAGTGGAGCTGCTGCCCTGTGGCCACAGAGCATAGAGTGAAATCGTGTAAACTGAGGCCTCATTGCCAGAGCAGTGACATCGGCCTTGTGCTGGGTCCTTTGACGGGCAGGGAGAAGATGGGCTGCCTGTGCTTGGCCTGAGCAGGATGCCTTGTTCCCTGGACGTTCTCGCAGGGTTTCTATCAGAGCCAGTTGTCAGGATGAGCAGTCTGCCATCCCCCCACCCCAGGCTCCTGGACCTCTCGGGGCAGAGCCTGCTGAGGAACAAGGCTGCATCCATCACCACCCCAGAGCCGCTGCCTGTGGAGTTCTTCCCACCACTCTTGAAGGCATCCCTTGCCGGGAGGCACAGGGAGACTCTGCAGGCGATGGTACAGGCCTGGCCCCTGGCCCTCCTCCCTCTGGGGACATTGATGATGGAGCAGCAGCCCCACTAGGAGACCCTATAGGTCACGCTCAGTGGGCTTGATGTCCTGCTTGCCTAGAAGGTTCACCCCAGGTGAGGTTCATCAGTAACCTAGGAGGGCCCCAGGGATCAGGGAGAATAGAAGCCTGAAGGGTGCCAGTGAAGAATCTCTGGGAGACCTTGGGGTCACTCTGAGAAGGGATTCCAGAAGTGTAGGGCTGATTAAGATGCAGAGGTAACTGAGAGAACATGTACCAGCTCCCTCCCAGTGGTACTGAAAGATACTAGGAGCAGGGACTAAGAAGGAACCCAGGGGCTGGGGGGACAGTTGCTGTTGAGTCAATTGAGACTCATGGCAACTCCCATGTGTATCAGAGTAGAATCGTGGTCCATAGGGTTTTTAATGGCTGTAACCTTTCAGAAGTAGATCGCCAGACCTTTTTTCTGTGGCAACTCTGGGTAGGCTCAAACCTCCAACCTTATAGTTAGAGCTGAGCACATTAACCATTTGCACCACTCAGGGACTCCCCAAGAGGAAAAGGGATGGAGAAAAGAAAGGTAGAGAGGAGAGGGGTAGGGAGGGCAACAGCTGGGGTCTGGGGCAAGAGCACAGGCTGGACTCCTGGTCCTTGCCTAGATTCTGAGACCAGTTGCTTTTGAGTCGACTGTGACTCATGGTGACCCCCTAGGTGTCAGAGTAGAACTGTACTCCATAGGGTTTTCAGTGGCTGGTTTTTCAGAAGCAGGTCACTAGACCTTTCTTCCAAGGTGCCTCTGGGTAGGTAGACGCGAACCTCCAACCTTACATTTAGCAGCTGAGTGCATTAACTGTTTGCACACCCAGGGAGTTGATCTTAAAGCATCTCAGCCAACCACCTGTTTTTCCCACAGGAGATGGAAACTACAGGTGCTGGATTTATGGACAAACACCCATCAGGAATTCTCGACCATTTGGGCTGGGACCCCAGCCAGGGTCTGTGAGTAGGCACTGGAGCCAGAGACAGAGCCATCCATGGCGAAGAGGCAGAGGGTCCTGGGATGGGGGAGAGGCAGCCCTTCGCTCCAGTAGAGGTGCTCATGGACCTCTGCCTGAACGTGGCCGCCCCAGATGAGTTCCTCACTGCCCTCCTTAAGAAGATCAGGCAGAGATGAGGTTTGCTACACGTGTGCTGTAAGGAGCTGCAGGTGTTTTCAATGCCAGTGCAGAATATTGAGAAGCTGCTGCAGTTCCACTCTGTCCAGAACCTGGAAATGAACTGCACCTGGAAACTTTTGACCCAGGGGCGGTTTGCCCCTTACCAGGGCCAGATGGTGAACCTGCCGCAGATTCCTCCTCTACTGCTTGCAGGCCATATCATCCCACCATTCCTAGGCCAAGGAGAAGCAGGATGTCTACCAGTTTTCTGCCCAGTTCTTCAGCCTGTACCACCTCCAGGAGTTCCGGCTGGACTCCATCTCCTTTCTGGAAGGCCGCCTGCACCAGATGCTCAGGTTGAGCAATGGCACACCTTCTCTGCAGGCTGGAGCAGGCCTGCTTCAGGCCAGTCAGCAGTAGGCACCGACTGTGACAACTGCTGGTGATGTGAGTGAAGAAGACTGGGTGACCAACACATTGTCTTGTCCACTGCTCTGTCCCCAAGCTAGCTGTCATGTAATCACTCAGTAAACATATGGGTATACACTGGGACAGATGCTACGAGGAGGGACACCATGCTAGGAAACTATAATGAGGGGTTTGGGCCTAGTGAGAGTGGGTGTGTTTAGGAAGTGATGTCTAAGTTAAGGAGGAGCTTCGTGGTGCAAATGGTTAAGCACTGGGCTGCTAACTGAAAGGTTGGCCATTCAAACCCACCCAGAGGCACCTCAGAAGAAAGGCCTGGTAATCTTCTTCAAAAGGTCACAACCATGAAAACCTATGGGGCAGTCCTACTCTGCGCACGTGGGGTCATCATGAAATAACTGAGTGAAGAGGACATTGATGAAGGGAAAGTCCATCCAGTGGGGGCATTAGCATGCAGCTCACTCTGTACTCATAGCTTTGTGAACATGAGCCTCTCCCTCTGAACTAGTTGCTGTTGAGTCGACTCTGACTCATGGCACCCCGATATTCAGAGTAGGACTGTGCTCTATTGGGTTTCCTGTGGCTGATTTTCAGAAGTAGATCATCAGGCCTTTCTTCTGAGGCTCCTCTGGGTGGACTTGAACCACCAAACTTTTGGTTAGCAGGCAAGTGTATTAACCATTTGCATCACCCAGGGACTCCTAAAACCAAACCATTTGCTGTCAAATCGACTCTGACTTATGATGACCCCATGTGTGTAGAACTGTGCTTCATAGGGTTTTTATGGCTATGACCTTTCAGAAGTAGATCACCAGGCCTTTCTTCCAAGGCACTTCTGGGTGGACTCAAACTACCAAACTTTTGGTTAGCAGCTGAGTGTGTTAACCATTTGCACCACCTAGGGACTCAAAACTGCCCTCAAATTCCCTGTAGGTAAAAGGGTTGCTTTGAGATGCTGGGAAGATAATATATGGGAAATGTCTGATTGTGCAGATGAGGGTGAAGGAGCAGGAGTGAAGAACTGTGAAAGTTGTAAGTGATCTGCTGCTGATATGTAGATGTATGTGAACCCCTGTAGGCTGGCAGCCCCAGTTGATGTGGCCCTTCATGTGGGGCTCAGGTTTGCCCTTCATGCCCCCTCACAGTAGCCTCATCTGGCATAGAGACATGGGCAGCTTAGGCCCAGGCAGTGGCCAGAAGGAATCCTGAGCTGAACACATTTTTAGTCGTGTCTCCCAATACTCAAACTCAGTGATGCCCACTGCCTTAGTCTCCTAAGGCTGCTGTAACAAAAATACTACAAGTAGGTGGCTTTGAAGAACAGAAACTTATTTTCTCACAATTCTGGGAGGCTATAAGTCCTAATCAGGGTCTCAGCCATGTTGATTCCTTCCTTGTCGGTAGTCCAGGCATTCCTTGGTTCCTGGGCTTACAGATGCTCTTTACATGGCATATGTCTTCCCCAGTTTGTGCTTGTCTCTGTGTCTAATTTTGCTCTCTTTATAACTCAGAAGTATGATTTTATTAACGTAATTGGAAAATTGCTTTATGGAAGGTCATTACGTTACATTACATCCACAAGTATAACAAAAAAAAAAAAAAAAGAACCCATTGCTGTCCAGTCAATTCTGACTCATAGTGACCCTCTATGTAGAACTGAGCTCTGTAAAGTTTTCTTGGCTGTGAACTTTATGGAAGTAAATCGCCAGGCCTTTCTTTTGCAATGCCACTAGATGGGTTAAAACTGCCAATTGCAAACCATTTGTGCCACCCACGGTCCTTAAGCACAGGTATTCCCCGTAAAAAAACACCAATCCCTTTGCCATCGAGTCAATTCTGACACATAGCAACCCTATAGGACGGAGTAGAACTGCCCCATAGGATTTCCAAGGAGCCACTGGTGGATTCAAACTGCTGACCTTTTGGTTAGGAGCCAAATACTTAACCACTGCGCCACCAGGGCTCCAGGCACAGGTATAGGGGTAGGGTTCCAACACATGTTTTGAAGGAACACAATTCCATCCGTAGCACCCACCCTTGATGGAGATATCATGTCAGACTCTCCTCTTGGCATGTTCCATTGCTATCTCAATTCATCCCATGACAAATACAAGGGGTGTGTTGTCCTCTGTTTGACAGATGAAGAAAGGAAGCCTTAGACACTCAGTCATACAACAAATAAATGAGAGGACCCCCCCTAAAATTGGATTGACTGGGTGTTCATACTCTACCATGTGTCATCCTGAGTGTTGACCATCATGGGAAATACCTTGTTTTGAGTGGGAGGTCCCAGGGTGGTGCAAACTGTGCTTGACTGCTAACCTGAAAGTTGGTGGTTTGAATCTATCCAGCAGTACCACGGAAGAAAGTTCTGACGATCTGCTTCTGTAAAGATGACAGGCAAGAAAACCCTATGGAGCACAGTTCTGCTGTGTAACACATGGGATCATTATGAATCAGAATTGACTCAAAGGCAATGGGTGGTTTGGTTTATGGTAAATCTGGAGTCTCTGGATGACGCAAACGGTTAACGTGCTCAGCTGCTAACTGAAAGGTTTATCTCCCACCATCCTCCACCCACCACCACCATTCCCCACCACTAACTGCCCCATCTCTCCCCAGGTGCCTGAAGGCCCTCTTGGAGACCCTCTGAATAACCAGCTGTCTGCTTATGGAGTCAGACCTGGCACACCTGTCTCTGTGCCCCAACACCTGCCAGCTGAAAGACCTGAGCCTGAACAACATCAGTCTGACCAGTGTGACTGCAAGGCCACTCCGAGTCCTCCTAGAGCAAGCCTTGGCCACCCTCCAGGGCCTGGACTTGGACAAGTGTGGGATCATGAGCACCTAGTTCAGTGCCATCCTGCCTACCCTGGGCCACTGCTCCCAACTCGAGACCTTCAGCTTCTGTGGGAACCCCATCTCCATCGCTGTCCTGGAGAGCACACTGCTGGGCTGGACTACCTGAACCACATGCTGTACCCTGCCCTGCTGGAGAGCTAAGAGGACGTCCACGGGACCCTGCACCTGGGCAGGCTGGCCCAGCTCCACGCCCAGCTGCCACAGATCCTGCAGGAGGTGGGGTGGCCCAGCATGGTCTGGTTCAGCACCAACCTGTGTCCTCAGTGTGGTGACAGGACCTTCTATGACCCAAATCCCATTCTGTGCCCCTGCTACATGCCTGCCTAGCTGGGTGTGCAGTGGAAGTGGAGGGGCAGGGTTAGGGGAAGATGTTGACGTGGGGAGTTGATGGGACATGTGTCCTATAGAGTCAGAAATATAAATCTGAATTTCTAGAGCAGGTTATGGGCTTGAGTTACCCCTGCATGGGTGGTTGTAAAGAAATGGTTAGAAATAAAGGGAATTTCAGTGTCAGCCTTGTGGTGTCGTCTGTGATAGATGGACCCATCTTCCCAGGTTAAACCTCAGGAATCTCCACCTACTGATGAAATAAAAGGGCACTGAGTGTCTGGAATGTTTGGAATCCCTGGGTGGTGCAAACAATTAAGCACTCGGCTGCTAACTGAAAGGCTGGTGGTTTGAATTCACCCAGAGGCACCTAGGTGATTGCTCCTGAAAGGTCATAGCCATGAAAATCCCATGGAGCAGTGCTGCTCTGCACACATGGGGTCACCATGACTCAGAACCGATGGCAACTGGTTTGGTTTTTGGTTTTGGTCTATGATGTTTAGAAACTCCAGGCACTGGGATGGGGTTTGGCACCAGGAGCTCATAGCACCAGTTATTATTCCTCTAGTTTGTTTCCCCTCTCAAGATTTTATCACCAGTTGCTGTAGAGTCCACTTTGACTCATGGCATCCCCATGTGTCAGAGTAGAACTGTGCTCCATAGGGTTTTCAATAGCTGATTGTTCAGAAGTAGATTATCAGGCCTTTCTTCTGAGGCATCTCTGGGTGGACTTGGACTTCCAACTTTTCTGTTAGCAGCCAACTGCTTAACTGTTTGTACCACTCAAGGGCTCCTGGGGCGTCTGTTACCTCCTCACTTATTTCTGTGGCTGGCAAGGTGCATCCTCAGGGCCTGGAACATACCAGGTGGCCAGTAGCGAGCACCAGTGCAGTAATGTGTTGTTCACTGCTAACTCCACCAAGACTCACGACACAGGCACTCTTCACAGTTCTCCAGTGAATCTCATCTCAGTCCCTCGCCTGTGGCTGTCCAGGAATCAACTTCCGTTACTGTGCGCAAGTCAAGCCCTTATACTGGAAGGGGACATCCACTCGCAGGTTAGCCAGAGACGCTGTGCCTCCCTGGGCCTCACCAACCCCTACTGTCATTCTGGAAGGTCCATCCCTTTTCAAATTAAACTAGTGGCCAGTGAAGACATTTAAATTCCTTTTAGCAAAGTACCAAATCATATAGCAACATATAACATATTTTTAGTATTTGTAGATTGATAAACAGTTGCAATCTGACTCAGGATTGTTCACTGCAGGGTAGCCATAGTAGTCTGGATCCAGAGAGAGCAGACTGTCAGCATCAGGAGTAAACCCTGGGTTCTCACAAGGTGTTGGTCCAGGCATCTAGGAGGGCTCCATAGCTAGAGAGAGATTATCTGAGGGAGAAGGAGAGGAACAACAAGACAGAGAGGTGACCAAATATTTGGACAAGAAAATGTAATCTAAGAGGAAGACAGACATGGATGAACCTTGAAGAAACATGCTGAGTGAAATTAGACACAAAAGGACAAATACTGTATAATCCCACTTATATGAAATATCTAGAATGCATAGAGACCAAATTTATTAGTGGTTACCAGGGATGAGCAGGAGAGGGAAATAGGTATTGCTTAAGGGGTACTGAGTCTCTGTTAAGGGTGACGAAAAGATTTGGTGATAGATAGTGGTGATGGTTGAACAACATGGTGAATGTAATTAATGTCACTGAATTGAACATGTAATAATAGTTGAAATGGCAAATGTTTATAAATTTTTTTTTTTTAAAGATGAAGAGGTAGGGCCTCAGCAGACCTGAAAACAAAGTGGTTGCCCACAGAACTTTTGTTGAAAGTCATCTTCAACCAATGTCTTTCTAATTCCGAGAAAGGTGGAGCAGAGACATGGGTCCTTGTGTCTGTGTTGTAAGAAACTGTGGCTGGAAGTGCAGGTTGTTAGGCACGTGCAGAGTCTGAAAATGCTAGAGCTGGGCTTCATACAAGATGTGCAAATGTCCAGTGGTACCCATATCTGCCAGACCTCTGCACATTGCTCACACTCATGGCCCTAACGAGCAACTGCGTATCTTCAGTTGTCTATCTTTCTTTGATGAGATCATCTGTATTTTCATCATTTTACTCTTACGCAAAGATCCATAGCCCCACGAGCTCCTTTATTTCTCCTAGGCCATTTATGCCAACATTTTAGCTGAGGGATAGAGAAGTGTTTCCATACAATCCCTTGTTGTTGTCGGCTACCACTGAGTCAGCCCCTAATTCATAGCAACCTCATGCACAGCGAAACAAAAGGCTGCCCAGTCCTATGCCATCCCCATGATCAGTTGTGGATTGGCCCTTTGTGATCCACAGGGTTTTCACTGGCTGATTTTTGGAAGTTGATTGCCAGACCTTTTTTCCTAGTCCATATTAGCCTGGAGATCTGCTGAAACCTGTTCAGCATCATAGCAGCACACAAGCCTCCACTGACAGGTGGTACTGCATTTGAGGTGCATTGTCTGGGAATTGAACCCGGGCCTCCCACACGAAAAGTGAGAATTCTACCGCTGAAATACCAATGTCAGTAATATGTAATCCTTTAAAAGGGCCAAAATCAATCAGGACCAAGAAATATGATTTACATATAATTGCTGTTGCCTGCCAAACCCTCCTGCTTGTTGAGCAAGGAACCCATTCAAGGCAACTGGGCTCCTCTTCTAGTCTGTGGATAATAACCCATAGGAAACAAAAAGGTAGGTCAGGGAAGGAAAGTACATTGACTTATTTATACAAAGGTTTAATAACTGTTTCCTTGGTCCTGGGTCCTGTCCTAGATTCTAGGGGTACCTAGAAGTAAAATAATATGGTTACCTTCTTCCCAGAGAAGAGAGGACACAAGGGCTTTGAGAATGAATCACAATGAAGGTGGAACAGGGGATGCAGTTGTGGGCCTTCATAGACTGGCCACCCTGCATGAATTACAATTCATGCATTTCCATTTCCTGGGACCTTCCTATGACAACTTCTGGACACAACTGTTATGGATTGAATTGTATCCCCCCCAAAACATGTCTTGGAATCCTAACCCCATACCTATGGATATGAACCCGTTTGGAAATAGGGTATTCTTTGTTATGTCAGTGAGGCCATATCAGTGTGGAACTGTCTCAAACCTAATCACTTCTGAGTTTTAAAAAAAAAAGCAGATTAGACACAGAAGAAGCACAAAATGGGGAATATAGATTCCACATGAAGATTGCCAAGGAACCAAGGGACGCCAGGACTATAGAAGCTGAAAAAGAGCCTTCCCCTAGAGCCGATGCCCTGAATTCAGACTTCTAGCCTCCTGAAATGTAATAAAATAAATTTCTCTTCTTTAAAGTCACCTACTTGTGGAATTTCTGTTACAGCAGCACTAGGAGACTGAGACAACAACATATGTGGCAGGGCCCAGAAAATTAGAAGAAAGCCTGAGATTATAATTTCTCTATTCCGTACATTTTAATATGCAATTATAGATGCATTTATTAATTATAAGCTCATTTAATGCCGAGAGCACTCCTACTAAATAGTGTTTACTGATGAAGAAAAGGACTCAGAGAACAGGTGTATGGAGGCTCTATCTCTATTTTAACCATTCAGGTTGAAGATATCCCCTCCAGTTGACAATACTAAGTGCTCTGTCAGATACCAAGTCAGCAAGTGTAGCTCTGCTCAAAACCTTGAACACAAGTGTCCAACTGGCCTGCCTAGCAGTGCTGCTTTGAGCCATTCTCAGAAGAAAAGATGCTGTCCCTTCTCTGAACATTTAAATTGAATGATAATAATCATCGAACTCCCTGATTAAGTTTCTCCCCATCCAAGTTAGAATCATTCAGTAAGATCACATTAATAAAACACTATCCTGAAGAAGAACAAGGTGGAAGGCCTCACACTTTCTGATCTCAAAACATACTACACAGCCACAGTAATCAAAACAGCCTGGTGTTGATTCAATGACAGACTTATAGACGAATGGAATAGAATTGAGAGCTAAGAGTAAATTCATCCATTTATGCACAGCTGATTTTCAACAAGAGGTCAAAGTCCATTCAATGGGGAAGAAACAGTCTCTTTAACAAATGATGCTGGCAAAACTGGATATCCATTTGCAGAAAAATGAAAAAGGATTTATACATCACAAACAAACCCGTTGCCATCGAGTTGATTCCAACCCATAGCAATCCTATAGGACAGAGGAGAACTGCCCTACAGCATTTCCAGAGAGCAGCTGGTGGTTTCAAACTGCTGACATTTTGCTTAGTAGCTGAGCTCTTAACCACTACACCACCAGGGCACCATTATAGCATACACAAAAACAAACTCAAAAAGGATTAAATACCTAAATATTAACGCCAAAACTATAAAGTTCCTGGAAGATAACATAGGGACAAAACTATGTGACCTAATTTTTTTCAGAAATAGATTATCAAACACAGCTACAAATTTATAAACAGAAAAAACAAATTAGATAACTGAGACCTCCTAAAAATTAAATACTTATGTTCATCAAAAGACTTTAGCAAGAGGGTAAAAAGAGAACCTACACACCAAGAAAAAATCTTTGGGAATGACATATTCAATAAGGCTCTCATCTCTAAAATATATAGAAAACTTCAACAACGCAACAATAGAAAGACAAACAATCCAATTAAAAAATGGGCAAAGGGTAAAAATAATAATAACAATAAAGTGTAAAAAAAACACCTAAAGCATAATAAAGAAATAAAATGTAAAAAAAAAAAAGGTGTGGGGTGTGGGGGAAGAACAGACACTTCACCAGAGAGGACGTTCAGTTGGCCAACAAACACATGAAAAAATACTCACTATCATTAGCCGTTAGAGAGATGCAAATCAAAACTACAATGAGATACCATCTCACCCCTGAAAAAATGGCACTGATTAAAAAAACAACAACAACAAATGCTAGTGAAGTTGTGGGGAGATTGGAACACTTATCCACTGCCGGTAGTATTGT